TGACTGTGGAACAGACCACCAACTACTCATATGCAAGTTTAAGCTGAAGTTGAGGAAAATTAAATCAGATCCACAGGAACCAAAATTTGACCTTAGGTCTGTCCCACTCGAATTTCAAAACCATCTCAGGAACAGGTTTGAGGCCTTGAGCACCAATGAGTGTAGACCAAATGAGCTCTAGGAGGATATCAAGAAAATCATCCATGAAGAAAATCATTACAAGGCTGAAGAAGAAGAAAATACCAAGATAGATGTCAGATGAGACTCTGAGTATTGCATTAGAGCACTGAGAAGCGAAAGCTACAGCAAGAAACCAAAAAATCAAAGAGCTGAACAGAAAATTTCAAAAGGCAGCCTGGGATGATAAAGCAAAATACTATAATGAAATGTGCAGAGCTGGAGTCAGAAAATCAAAAGAGCAGAACTCGCTCAGCGTTTCTTAAGCTGAAGGAGTTGAAAAACAAATTCAAGCCACTAGTGACAATACTTAAGGATTCTTTTGATAGAATGTTGAATTATCCAGGAAGTATCAAAAGAAGATGGAAGGAGTACACAGAGTCACTGTATCAGAAGGAATTTGCTGACACAATAGAATTTAATTAAATAACATATATGCAAGAGTCCATGGTGTTGAAGAAGGAAGTTCAAGTTGTTGTGAAGGAATTGGCAGAAAGCAAGGCTCCAGGAGTTGACAACATATCAATTGATTTGTTTCAACAAACAGACGGTGCCCTGGATGTGCTTACTAAGTTGTGCCAAGAAATCTGGAGGACAGTCAGCTGGCAGACTTAATCAAAAAGATCGATATTTGTTCCGTTTCCAAAGAAGGTGACCCAACAGAGTGCGGAAATTATAGAACAATATCATTAATATCACATGCAAGTAAGATTCTGCTAAAAATTATCCAAAAACGTTTGGCACAATATGTCAAGAGAAAACTGCAAGATGTGCAGGCTGGATTTAGAAGAGGTGGTGGTACTAGGGATACTATAGCTAATGTTAGATGGATCTTGGCAGAGAGCAGAGAATACCAGAAGAATGTCTATCTGTGCTTCATTGATTATGCAAAGGCTTTTGACTGTGTGGATCACAACAAGGTATTGCTGACTCTGAGAAGAATGAGAATCCCAGAATATTTGATTGTGGTAATGGGAATACCTATGCTTGGACCAAGAGGCAGTTGTCAGAACAGAGCAGGAAGACACTAGATGGTTCAAAATCAAGAAGGGGATCCATTAGGGATGCATTTTTTCTCCATACCTTTTCAATCTGCGTGCAGAACTGGTCATCTGAGACACTGGGGTGTATGAGGAGGAATGTGGCATCAGGATTGGTGGAAGAGTCATCAACAACCTGCGTTATGCGGCTGACACAACCTTGCTTGCTGAAACTGAGGATGACCTGAAGCACTTGCTGCAGAGGATCATGGATTGCATCCTCCAATGTGTATTGACGCTCAACATCAAGAAAACAAAGATTCTCACCACTGGGCCAATTGGCAGCATCACTATTGATGGTGAAGAGATTGAGATAATTAATAGTTTTAGTTTACTTGGTTCCACAGTCAACACTCTTGGTAACAGCAGTCAGGAAATCAAGAGACAAATTGCATTGGGAAAGTCAGCTGTGAGGGACATCTGAAGAGTACTGAAGAGCAACAACATCAGGCTGGAGATTAAGGTATGTCTGATCCAGGCTGTAGTCTTTGCAATTGCAAAATGCATCGGAGAGTTGGACAGTGAATAGGGATGACAGAAAGAGAATTGATGCCTTTGAGCTGTGGTGCTGGAGAAGAGTGGTGAATATACCGTGGACTGCTACAAGAACAAACAGGTTTGTCCTGGAGAAGGTGAAGTCGGAATGCTCCCTGGAGTCAAGGATTCTGAAGCTTTGTCTGATGTATTTTGGGCTTGTTGCAAGGAGGGACTGGTCCTTGGAGAGTGGAGGGGCAGCACAGGAGAGGAAGACCTTCGATGAAATGAATCGATTCTGTGACTGGAGTGGTGGGAATGAGTGTGTTTGAGATGGCGAGGCTGGCACAGGATAGAATGGTGTTGAGAGCTCTTGTGCATAGGGTCGCTATGAGTTGCAAGCAACTCGATGGCACATAACGACAGCAACAACAACAACATGGCTGATAAGGTACTTAATATCTAGAATTTATAAAATGCTTGAGCAGCACAACAAGTTAAAGGTAAACAATTCAATTGAAAAATGGGCACAGGATATGAACAGACACATCACCAAAGAAAACATTCAGATGGCAAACAAACACACAAAGAAGTGTTCAAAATCCCTAGCTCTAAGAGAGATGCAAATCAGAACAACTGTAAGATATCATCTCACCCCTGTAAGAATAGCAAAATTTAACAGAGCAGCAAGCAACAAATGCTGAAGAGGTTGCAGAGAGAGTGGAACCCTTATTCACTATTGGTGTGAGTGTAAAATTGCACAACCACTATGGAAGGCAGTATGGTGCTTTCTCAAAAAGTTGTTAATAGAAATACCATTTGACCCAACAATTCCACTACTGGGAAAATATCCTAAGGAGACCAGAACTGCCAACCAAGCGAATATCAGCACACTCGTGTTTATTGCTGCTTTGTTCACAATAGGAAAGTTGGAAACAATCCAAGTGCCCATCAACAAATGAATGGGTAGAGAAGCTGTGGTATATTCACACAATGAAATACTATGCAGCACTGAAAAACAAAGAACTCATGAAATATTATACAAAATGGGTGACTATGGAGGACATTATGCTGAGAGAATTATCTCAGTCACAAAAAGACAAAAACAGTGTAATGCCACTGTTATACGATAGGACTGATATGGAGATTGAGGAAAAACTAAGAAACGAGGGGATAAATAATGTACATGGCATTGAAACAGACGAGGGAGAGAACTATATAAAAGGAAAATATGATTCGGTATTACTGGCATGACAAGAGTTCAGAAGAAGAGTTGCATTGTAAAATGGTTTTTTGGGGGGCCACGACTGTCTAACAATGAAAGAACTTTTTCCCCCCAAGAAAAAAGTGAACTGGGGGGGGGGAGGGGAGCCAGGGAGAAAAATGTGTAACAATAAATGAATGGAAATTTAAAAAAAAAGAGAAAAAAGAACATGTTAAACCTCTTCATTCCAAATAAAGCATACATTTTCTCAAAAGGGGAAAAAAAAATCCTAGCCTCCAAGGAGAAACTTGCTATCACTCTCTCCAATACAGACTTGGCAGTCCATGGTATGTTCAAGACTCTTCTTCATCAGCACAATTAGAAGGCAGCCCAAATATAGCAGTATAACCTGGGATGCAATTTCAAGGTGAAAGAGTATTGCCACTGCTTAGTTGAGGTCAGAGAATAATACTGTTTTGAGTATTTATCTGTTGACTCTAACAAATGTCTGTAAAATTTAGATCTTCAAAACATCATTATTTTATGATCTTTCCTGGAGTCTGTGAGACAGGGAATTGAGAAGGTCTCATGATTCTACCTTCCTCAATGATATAGTGGCTGGAGTTGGCACAGCAGAGTGCTGGGTCAAACAATTCTTTCTGTGATCTCAGGGCTTTATAGATTATCTACATGGGCTAGTTGAAGCTTTCTCCCAAGATGGTGGCCTCCATGCAGTTGGGTGCTTAGCCAAATGTTCAGGGTTCTAGATTAAGCAAGTTTAGAATTCCAGAGGAAGAGACAATTAAGAGCATCTTGGAATGTCACCTAGGATATTTCATGGTATCATATCCACCAGTCCTAAGTAAGATTCAAGAGAACTTGATAATTGGAATGTAAAAATCATTTTGTAAGAACATGTTGAGTTGGTGATAATATTGCAGCCTACTTTGGAAGAAGAAAGTCTTCCATAATTTACTTGGCCCCAAGGTTTGGGAAAAAAATAAAAGGTAATTTTCATTAGAAAAATGTATTCAGATTCTTAAAATACATACTCCCCCTTGCTTAGGAGTTTTAAGAGACAGTTTTCATTTTGAATGTAACAAAAAGATTAACCTGTGAATATATCTTTAATTGGCCAGAAAAAAAAAGTCTTTGCTTACTATCCTTCCTCAAAAAATATAGAATAGAATCTTTATCTCATAGCAGAAAATGGCTCAGCAAGACACTGACAGCTGGAGAGGGAAGCAGCGGGTAAGGGCAGCAGCCATCATGAGTAGTGATGGCCTCGCCTACCGGTGGCATCACTTTAGTGTGATCATTTGGTTTCAGATGTAGATGTGGATGTTCTGCCCCAGCTCGCTTAGACTACCTCTCTAAGACCCACATGCTACACTTTCTGGTAGTTTCCAAGGTCTCACATCAGTACAGAGTAAAACAATACTCCTACTTCAGGGAATTATGAAGGGAATTTGCTAGCCGCACTGGCTTGGCAAAGTTTTAGGGAAACATGATCACAAATACTTTTTTTAAAAAACACTGGTATTTTATTGGTTTAATATATGTTTGATGTTGCCAATTGATATCTCTGAATCTTACATAAATTGCATTGTCTTGTCCTAATCTCATGTTATCTTGGGGAAGCTTCAAGAAAGCAGAATGGTATACAAATGATAACTCTGAGCCATCTATAACTTGTTTAAAAAGCTGTGTTATTTGTTTGGATTGTAGGAATACTGTAATACAGTCCAGTTAGATTCTGGGATAGATTACCGGAAAAGGACTCTTCCTGCTGCAGGAAAACTCTATTACCTGTAAGTTTTCTTTTATATTTTCATATTCCTTTTGTGTTTACTACCTAATGATTAATGAAGAACAGATGAGAAGACTTAACATGATAATTGCAAGAATATGAAAGGCTACTTCTGAAGGCTGTTAATTTTAAACTATATAATGTTAAAATGTTAACTTCTTTAAACTGTTTTTTTTTGCCATCCACATTTGCATTACATGGATGTGTGATTGGATGAAACTCTAATTAGTTTTTTTTGGGAGGAGTGATGACAGATGGTTAGGAAGTAATGAGCATCCTCGTATAAGATACTCTGGTATTAAAAGAATATCTTTGTACTAGATTAATTAGTTATCTGTGGTCAGTGTCTGATGAGTATGCCATTTACATCCCCTAAAAATGAATTTATTTTGTAAGAGAATCCATTTCTATTTATTGTTGTTGATTGATTTGAGTACTTAACTGGCATTTTATACAAACACGCATATACCTGGATATATTTTTCTCTCATAAAAGCTAAGTCTTTTCTCATTGGCAGCAATTTGTAATAACAGATATATTTGGCACAGGCAGTTAATGCTGAAAGAAAAATAGAAATGGCTTTATAATTCCCTTTATGAGAAATTGAAAAGGGGAGAAGTGCCTTATAAATGCTGTTTTGTATGTACCAGCAGCACATAGTAGGTGCTCAGGAAATGTATCCATTTAAAGGTTAATTGTGGCTGAACTAAAAGGCAAGTTTCTGATAATTTAAATTTTGATGACATTGTGCATATGAGAGATTCAGAAAAGTTCTTGTCTCTGCCACCTTGTAAGCAGAAGTACTTTACTGTTTTTGAAGCAGAAATTAGCCAGAAAAATCACATAATTAAAATTGCATACATTAGAGTGTACCAAGGGGACTATTTCAGTTTATTATTCAGATTCTGGTGATTATTATAGGAGGTTCTTCATCTTCCCTTAAGTACTTTGTCTTTAAAGTACTTTATAATTTTTAAAAAAAATTCTTATAACACTTTTTAATGCTTTAACATGTATTTTGTTTTAAAAGTTCCTTTTTGTTTGTATTTTTGGTTTGCTTTCTGGATGTTTGTGTTTTCTGATTTGTTTCTTTTTCTTGCTCTTTACAACTTTTTCCTAGCCCTTTCTTTGTCTTCCTGATGTGACGATGTTGGTGGTGGCAGATGCTGTTGAGTTGTTTGAACTCATGGTGACTCTTTGCAGATATATGTTGTTGTGTACTGTCTAGTTGGGACCAACTCATAGTCAACCCTCCAGTGGGTTATTATAGGCAGTAAATCACATGAGAGGAGGTTGCCCAAACCCTCAGAGCAGCTGGTAGATTTGAACCCTGTGCTTTTGGGATTGCAGCACACCTTCTTAACCACTAGGCCACAAGAGCTCCTTGGGTAGATGTATAGAATTTATAAATTATCATTCCCTGTTTTCTTCAGATCCATTGTTCATAGAGTCATAGTTGACTCAACAACACTTAACAACAGCAAGAACTCATTGTTTCTCATTAAAGTGTATCCTTCCTTTTATGGAGATAAAAAACATTTTCCAAATGAGAAATTACTTAAAGAAAAACTAAAGTCTGGGTGTGAACCGTGGAATCAGTTTCACAATTAGAGAGGTCTTGATAGCATTTGCAGGCAGTAAAAAACTGCCTGTGCTTGGAAGCTGATTATTTTCTCTCCCTGACCTGCACTGCCATGCCCCTTCCTCTTACTGAGAAACACAGTTCCAACACAATGAAATTCTGTTTTGCACTAAAAAGTATGTCTGGGAGGAAAACAGACTTGAACAATGTTCCAGAGTTCAGGAAACTAGAGTCTACAAAGTATAATTTAAAACTTTGGCAAAACTTTAGTGAAGAAAAAGAAATTCTTACAGTTCTCAAGTTTTATGCCTTTAATGTCAATTGGTTTGAATGTGTAATAACCAAAGAGAGTGAGGGCCTTGAGGTATAACTTACCTCATAAAGTAAAACAGATACTAATTGCTGAGGAAAATAACTTCTTATATGGAATAAAAATAATATATATCAAGATGCTATGCCAGGGATATACCATTATATTGTTTTACATACCATTTGGGATCTAACTTTTTAATGATAGAGTTAAAAAAAAAATCCTGAGCTAGTGTTAATACTTTCTTTTTAAAAAAAAACAAAATAAAACACAACAGAACAAAAGCTTACAATTTATTTATTATGGCTAGACTTTTAAATTTGTTTGTTTCCAGATATTTCTGAATTGCTCTTTTCTTAATTGAGATTTTAATGAAAGTTTATAAAGAACTTGGGTTTCCAATCCTTCATGGTTGCACATTTTTCTCCCTGCTACCCCTCCATATCACTTTTTTCGGGGAGAAAGTTCTTTCATTGTTACACAGCCCCCGCCCCAGACCACTTTACTATGCAGCTCTTATTCTGGTCTCTTATCATGCCAATAATACCAAATCATATATTCCTTTTATACAGTTCTCTCCCTCGTATGTTTCAATTCCATGTACATTATTTATCCCCTTTTCCCTAGTTTTTCCCCTACCCCTGTATCACTCCTGTCTATAAAAGGGGCATTATACTTTATTTGTCTTTTTGTGACTTAGATATTTCATTCATCATAATGTCCTTCATAGTCACCCATTTTGTATAATATGTCATGAGTTCTTTGTTTTTTTAGTGCTGCATAATATTCCATTGTGCGAATATACCAAAGCTTCTTTATCCATTCATTTGTTGATGGACACTTGGACTGTTTCCAACTCTTTGCTATTGTGAACAAAGCAGCAATGAACATGGGTGTGCATATATCTACTTGGGTGGTAGCTCTGGGTTCTTTAGGGTATATTCCCAGTAGTGGAATTGCTTGATCAAATGTATTTCTGCACCTTTTTAAGAAAGTGCCATACTTCCTTCCATAGTGGTTGTACCATTTTACACTCGCACCAACAGTGAATAAGGATTCCAGTTTCTCTACAACTTCGTTAGCATTTATTGTTTGCTGCTATTCTTTGCTATTCTTAATGGAGTGAGATGGTATCTCACAGTTGTTTTGGTTTGGATCTCTCTTAGAGCTAGGGATTTTGAACATTTCTTTATCATTTGCTCACCATCTGAAGGTCTTCTTTGGTGAAGTGTCTGTTCATATCCTGTGCCTATTTTGCAATTGGGTTGTTTACCTTTATCTTATTGCGGTGCAGCTGGTAGTTTTAAATCTGCAACCTTTTTTTTTTAGCAGTTGACAAACCACTTAACCACTGCCCCACCAGAGGTTCTTGCACTGATACACAATTATTTTTGAAGTCATCATTTAATGGACAATTACTTTTACATTTTGTATTTGTTTGTATAAAAATATGTATACATTGTATTTCATTCATAAACATTGTGTTTAACACATTCTTTCATTTGTATTGTGATTTATACAATCTTTCCAATATATTGTGTCTTTAAAAAATTAAACACTAATACCAGAAGAATGTCTATCTGTGTTTCATTGATTATGCAAAGGCATTTGACTGTGTGGATCATAACAAACTGTGGCTGACTCTGAGAAGAATGGGAATCCCAGAACATTTAATTGTGCTAATACGAAACCTATACTTGGACCAGGAGGCAGTCGTCAGAACAGAGCAGGGCAACACTGCATGGTTCAAAATTGAGAAGGGTGTAGGCCAGGGATGTGTCCTATCTCCATACCTTTTCAACCTGTATGCAGAGCAGATTATCCGAGAGGCTGGGCTCTATGAGGAGAATTGTGGCATCAGGATTGGTGGAAGGTCTATTAACAATCTCCGTTATGCAGATGACACAACCCTGCTTGCTGAAACTGAGGAGGACCTCATGCACTTGCTGCGAAGGGTCAAGGACTGCAGCCTTCAGTATGGACTAAGGCTCAACGTCAAGAAGACAAAGATTCTCGCCACTGGATCAATTGGCAGCATCAGGATGGATGATGAAGAGATTGAGAGTGTTCACAGCTTCAGTTGGCTTGGCTCCACAGTCAACACTCTTGCTACCAGCAGTCAGGAAATCAAAAAGCGTATTGCGATGGGAAAGTCTGCCATTAGGGACCTCTCAAACGTACTCAGGAGCAACAGTGTCTCTCTGGAGACTAAGGTGAGCCTGATACAGGTCATGATATTTGCAATCGCTTGTTATGCATCAGAGAGTTGGACAATGACTAGGGAGGACAGAAGGAGAGTGGATGCTTTTGAGCTGTGGTGCTGGAGAAGGGTACTGAATGTACCCTGGACTGCCAAGAAAACAAACAGATCCATCTTGGAGAGGATTAAACCAAGCTACTCCTTGGAGGCAAGGATTCTGGGGCTTCGTCTGACATACTTTGGACATGTTGCCAGGAGGGACGGGTCCCTGGAGAGGGACATCATGCTTGGGAGGGTGGAGGGACAGCGCAGGAGGGGAAGACCCTCTATGAGATGGATTGATTCGGTGACTGGTGTAATCGGGATGGGTGTGTCAGAGGCGGTGCGGTTGGCGCAGGATAGAGCAGGGTTTAGAGCTGTTGTGCATAGGGTCGCTATGAGTCGGAAACGACTCGATGGCACATAACAACAACACTGATCTATGTCTACTATCTTTTCAAATTCCCCCTGGATCTTTCCTAATTTCATCACCCCCTCCCACCACCCACCAAACTCTGAGTCTCTGTGATTTCCTTCTCTCCCCACCCTCAGACCCCCTGCTGTCTTTGGGCCTTTATACTATCTTACTAGTTATCCTTCTATTTTTTTACAACAATGGTCTTATGCAGTATTTGTCTTTATGAGACTGAGTTAATTTACTCAGCATAGTGCTCTGTAGCCTCTCCCATGTTATATATAGCTTTTCTTTAAAAAAAAAAATCACTGCTCCTGAGTACTGAATAGTATTCCATCATGGGAATGTACCACAATTTCTAGATCCATTAATTTGTTGAGGGATGTTTGGAATATTTTCATGTTCTTGCTATTATGCATAACACTGTTTTGAAAGTTGATATATAAATATCTGTT